TATTTTTAATTGTTTGTTAAAAAAGAAACAACAACCAAACAAAAACCTTTTACAAAGCAGTAAGGAACACCAAATGCATCTCTGAACAACTTCACTTTTCTAGCACAATAGACACTGCATTAAAGCAGCCATTACCCAAGAACTTTTAGACACTTTCTCTAGAGCAGAGATCTCATGAGAATGTAGAGAGAACAGCGGGCATGGTAACAATAATTTTTTTGCCATTTACAAATAGGCTGTATCAGGACAATATCTTCTGATTTTAGAATGATTTCTCATTCTGAGACATTCCAGCTTGCATTACAAACTAGTAGCAGGATCCCTTAACTGTGCCTTTGTAAGACTCCTGTTGGCTTCAAAGGCAGTGCTGTGTTCAGGCTGACATAGGATCATGACCTTGACCCAGAGACAAATTATTTGCTGTGGTCACTTCAACTTGTGCTGAACAGGAACTATGGAGAGAAAAGGGAGCAAACTGCTTAATATCGTCTATCTTAGCTGTTGCTTAAAGCAGGAAAATAAAAAACATACACCACAAAAAACACCTTACCTCTTTCTGGAACTAAAATTTTGTAGAGTGTTGAGTTATGGAGGACAAAAAAGTCAACACTTGAGCTAGGATTCTGAATACAGTTAACTCTAGAGTATTTCAAGTATCCTCTGATATCTCTTGCAATCACTAATGATCACTTTTTCTTCTTGAACACTGAAGTTTATGAGCACCAGGAATAGTGACACATGGTTTCTCATGGCTTTTGTCTGGCGTTGGACTATGAGTCATGACAGGTTTTTTGCTGCAGGTGGCCCATTTATATCTGCTTTCTTTCTCAGTTGGTTCTTATCTAATGAGACAGTTAATCTTGAAACTTTTCTTATGGCAGGTCACACTGGGGGAGAAATTACAGGACTTCCCTCCTCTACCCTTCTCCTTACTCTTCACTGCTGGCAGGAACTTACTGATCCCTTTCACCTCTGTACTTCAGGTCTTTCTTGTAAATTTTAAATGATTGTTTGTTTGAGCCATCACCCACAAGTTTTTAGAAGGAGCTGTGAATGTATCGTGACTGTGTGAGATTTGATTTACAGGAAACTGAGGAGGCAGAAAAAGTCACTCATGCTATCTGCAGGCATTGGTGGAAATTATCGCAGAAAGAAACCTGTTCATTTGTGGGCACTAGCATAGTTTTTCTTTGTTGCAATGGGAATCACCAAAAGGTTTCTACTGTATATTCTACCCTTTTTGTGCTTGGAGAGTAAAAAAATGTAGGAGTCATATTCCCCCTGAGAGGGCACTCACCACAGATCTCCTCAGACCCTTTACCATCTCCCTAGGAAATCCTTGATTATACAGAACTGGGGGGCAGGGACTGAATTGCAAGCTACCAGGGGTTGCCGCTGCCATCTCCAAGAGAAAAGGCACGCCACTGCCACTTGATGGCTTTATCCTGCCCTACATGGCCACTCAGATGGCCAGCTGCAGCCTGAACTAAATCCTTAAGAACTTGTGGAAATGAGTTGTGAGTTATTCATCAGCCATGAATATATGAAAGAGAAATCCAACCTAGCAGTTGCACAGCTACTTTACATGCCTGGTTTCCCATGAAGTCTACTTGCTCTTTTGATTATTTCTTAGCTGTTGTTTCTAATTTTTGTAAAGGCTTCAGGAAGCTTGTTTTAGCTGGAGTGAGTAAATTGTCTTGGCAGAAATGAGGCAAAAGTTAAGAGGAAGGGTCTACTATATGTTTCAGGCATTGTACGTTGACTTAAATGAAATCTATTAATATAAATAGACTTCAGAATTCCTCTCCTCTCTATTTCCAAGCTGAAAGCCACCCAGGGTCGTAGTGATGCCAAGGGCTGTTGGGTGTCAGAGGGGAGGTGGCGGGGCTCAGGGTGATGCCTTGAGAGGCTACCTAGAACAGAGGCTAGACAGTGTTAAAGGAATGAAGTAGGTTTTTATTAAAAAGGCCTTCAAAGAATACACCTTGGGCAGTACAAGAGCCTGGCCGAGGCTACAGGACGTTTTCACACTTTCATAAGTTTTGGTTCGTTTACATATTTGGGTTAATTGTCCAATTACAGCTTTAGGTATGAAGTCCCATCCTCCCAGATTGCTGTCCTCGATTTGTTGTTGTTTATGCTTTTTGGGCTTGAAGCTGTAATGGTGTCCTTGGTTCTCAGGCTGGAAAATTATTGTTTTGTCTAACAAAACAACTTGCTAACACTTTATATGAAGTTCAGAATTATATACTAATGCAGTACAAAATCTGGAAAATATGACAGTTGAAACTTAAGGCATCAAGGGTGCAGCCTGCAGGGTCGGGCTGGCCCGGCCCAGTGCTGCACTCCCCTGTTTGCTTTGTGGGAGTGGACAGGCGCTGGGAGTTCGTTGGGATTTTACTGTCGAAGCTTTCTAAAGTGGTGTAAATGTGTGTGCACAAGCTGCCGAGCAGGCCTATAAAAACAGGACCATATAATCAAGTTGAAAATTGAGAAAGTGATTTATTTGGTTCTTGTCCTCGTCAGTGAGGTCGAGAACCCCCTGTCCCGGTCGGCTGGCCGGCGCTCGGCTTCTCACGGCCGTAGCGGGGCTGAGCGCTGGAGGAGGCGGGAGTCGGGAGCCGCTGTGCCGCTGCGGGCTCGGCCGGGGCACCCGAGCCCCGCGGGGCCGGCGCGCAGCAAGCCGGGCTTCTACCGGTGTTCGGGCCCTGCCGGAGGTCTGCTTCGGTTCGTACGCTTCAGCAGTAGCAAAGTAGTCCGCAAATATTTGTTTGTCTGTGGGCGCCCTACAGGCAAATGAGCCGGGAGGCGCTCCCGCGGCGCTCGCTTCCCAGCCTTTGGCGAGTCTTGGGAAACCTGCAAGCCGGAGGGCTCCTGTTCCTTCGGCGCGGAGTCCCGCGGGAGGGCTGGACCACCCTCCTGCTGGAGGTGCCGTGGCTGCTGACAGCTCCCTGACACAGGCACGGGCCACGGCCCGACGACCTCTGGCGTGGGCACGGAGAGGACAAACGGGCGACAAATGGTGGGCCTGGGTGGGTTGTGTAGCAGAGACATCCATGCTTCCATCTTTCTTGAAGACAGACTGGCAGTGCGATGCCCCTGCACCCCTCACCCCTTTCTCCAGCTGATATAGCTGCACATACTGCAGATCGGAGGAAAACACCCGGCGGTGAAAACCTGGGAAAACCGCTTCCACTTTTTGGTATACAGATGCTGACATAGCCTCCCAGAGGCAGGCTGAGGCGGCCGAAGGCAACTGGCGGCGCTAGCAATGCTGCTCGCACTCTCCCATCCAGTTACAAGGATCGGCCTTTGCAGGCAGAGGCGACACGCTGTGAATAGTAGAGGCAACGTCTGGGGAGGCCAGGAAGAGTCCACACGAGGGAGAGGGAGTACACGGGGAGAGTGGGAAGGTCCCGTGCCCCGGGCACTTGACAGGGTCGGGCCACCGGCCTGATGGCGCTCCGTAGTCGTGACCTGCGGAGTGCCAGGGGGAGGCTGTCTCGGTGCCCGGGTTCAGCCCTTTGGCCATACACAGGTGCAGTTGGTACCTATCTGAAGGAGCTGGGGATGGACCCTCTCCCGTGGCCCGCGTTGTGGCAGCGTGCGAGGGGAAGGGTGCGGAAAGCCCAGCTCGTCCAAGGGAAACGATGGCGGGAACAAGCGGCGCTCAGCGGGCCGTGTCCGCGCCCCGGCCCATACCCTTGGGCCACTCCTGACCCTCTCCTTCTGCCTGACGCCAAGTACAAGCGGGGCGGAGGGTCACTGCCGGCACCGAAAGGACAAGAGTCGCCTCCAGCCCTGTGTATGGCTGGTGCTGGCCTCTGGCCGGGGCGCGGACACGGCACCTGCCGCCCTGCCCTGGTCCAGCTCCCGCGGGCAGTCGTGTCGCGCCAGTGCCGCCGAGAGTCGCCGGATGCTAGTAACACTTCCCTCCCGAGGTGACAGGAGCAGGTCCATCCTCTCCTATATCGTAGGAGTAGAATCCCGGCTCCACCTGCCTGGAGGCTTCCCCGTCAGTCCGCTGCCTGACGAAGCTCAGTGTCCCCTCCTTTCTTATTGCGGCAAGCCGGCGGGGCTGTGGGCTCCCGCCAGTATGAGCAGCAGTGACTGCCTGGGAAGGGATCGCTGCCCGTCTCACCGCCAGGCTGTCGAGGACTCAGCTTGTCTTGAGACTGGCCCGCGTGGGTGCCTGGAGCTCTGGGGGTGGATCAAGCAGGGCTGGAGCCGCCGGGGCGCGGGGTGCCGCCAGCTCGCCCCTCCGAGGCGTGCGCTTCGCTCGCGTCTAGGCGCCCACTTGCGGTCCCTCAATCGGATCGAGTCTGTTCTGTGAAACTCCTCAGGGCTGACCGGGGCTCTCTTGAAAGCGACTTAGGAAAAGCAGAGGGCTGAGAAACTTTGAGAAAGTTGGGCGAATTCGTCCCTTTTCTGTGAGGGGAAACTAAAAAGCCGCACGCCCATGACCCCCTCTTGAATGAGAGCACACGCTCGGAAGCCGCTGCAACTCCGCCTTGTCCTGGCTGTGGAGGGAGATGCTGCAGCCCGAGAAATCCCGCCGTATCTCGTTTAAAATAGGTTGATACAAAGTAAAGACGCTAACAAACAGGCTTTCCCCTCAGAAAGACGCCTCAGAAATCGGGAGGCTGCCGTTGTTTATGTCCATCTTAGTGGAGAGGGATGTGCAGAGCTATTCCCAGGGACAGAACAAATACCTGCTAAGAACCAAAGGCGCCAAGAGTTGTCGCACAAATTAATTGATTCCGTAATCGCTAGGGCTATAACACCTTATTTATGATAAAGCATGTGACACAATCTTCAAAATGTGGTAGCTCCATGTTACCACCTCTTTATTACTTACACAAGCTAATAGGTAAAGTGACTTTCACCTTATTTACTTGAAGGAGACACAAAGAAGCAGACAGGTAATTCCGCGCTGCTAATTATTGTGATGTGATGGGTAGGGAAGGGAGAGGTTGTAGTGGAAAATGGAAGACCGATTATGAAATCTCGCAGTTTAGCTAGTAGTGACCATCTCAGACCTCATGATTATTTTTTCTTAAACTGCAGATGCCAATATGTTAGAAAATCTGGCACCTTATCTACCAGCGAGTGAACCCGTTTATTCTGTCCGAAAGCATGATTTGATAACAGGCAACCTTTTTTTTTTTTTTTCCCTGTGACTGATTTGAATTCTCGCCTAAATGTTAGCGTTTAAAATTGACTGTTTAGCTGTTGCGCTTCAGGGTGGGGAGAGAGGGAAGCGGTAGCTCTCTCGCTCGCTCCTGGGTTCTGCGGTACCGAGAAAGATCGCACTCAGTGCCGATAGCGGAGCGCGGAATTTTGCCGTCTGCCGCGGTGAAGTTGCGGTAGTGTTGCAGTTCCGCTTGTGTGAGGCTTGCCAGGCGTAAGGCAAAAAGTGTCCCGTATACAAAACGATCAGAATATTTACAGGTAATTGTGACTGTCAAATACTTCGTTGCGTTGACAAAGCGCAGAGATCTTGGAGCGTTTCGTCTTTCGGGGGGTGGGAGGTTGCGGGGGATTGGGACCCCTGCGAGGGGCAGCGGCGCGGGCCCGTTCGGCCGGGGAACTGGGGGGCTTCTGGATCCCAGCGAAACGCTGGCAAGGAGGAAATAACAGTGTCTTCCCGCAGAGACGGCGTGGCTGAAGGGCTCTTCCTGGGGCAGAAGTGCAGCGGTTCATGGAACAGAGTAAGTGAGAGTTGCTGTCCCCACTGGGGACAAACTCTCTTGTTAGATGCTGATTTAGTTGGAGCGATTCCGTGACGGGGAGCACACGAGCATTGCGTCTGCTCTGGTTTTATAATGGGATTTCTAACGGTGGATAATTCTCACCCGTCCTTTTACAAACCTGAAATTTGTCACGGGAGCGCGCTGGCTGCGCGCAGGCCGGTGGCCCCTCCGGCGGAGGGGGCGGGGGAGAGAGGGGGCAGGGCGGCTGGGGGAGACCCAAGCGCTGGAGGAAGAAGAGCCTTTCGGTGGAATTGCTCTCGCTGCTTGACAGCGGTGCTTGGCGACGGTGATGTCTTGCCTGGGCACGGTGGCCGCGCAGCTACCGAGGCCGTACTGCAGGGCTGGGAGGTGGCAGTCCCCGCCGGCGGCCGAGCACTTGATTCCGGCCCCTTCTGCACCCTGCTTGCTTCTAAGGAACGGGGCAGGCGTGGCACGGAGACAGCCTCGTCAGAGACTGTGGAAGCAGAGGGGGTCAGCTCCGCGGAGCCCAGAGGGCGAAAGGCGAGTAGGCTCAGGGTAGTGTCCCCAGTTCCCAGCTGCCCCATCGTATCTGCTTCATAGGTTTCTGCCTCGTTCCACCGCATCGAGAAGCCACGTCCAGGCTGCAGGACGCTGCCTTGGCAAGGTTACTGGGGCAGTCTCGGGCGGCGGGCCATCTTTTGGCCACCCTGTAAGGTGCTGGGAGCGGACAGACAGCCCCGAACCCCCGAAGGGGCCCTTTTATGGGCCAAGCAGGAACTCAAGCCCCCGAAACTCTTTTTAAGTGTTGGCGCATATTGCCTGGCAAAGTTTTGTGGTCGCAGGAAAAGACGATAGGATTGTTTGCAAGAGGAAAAGCGACAGGATTTGGCCCTTTCCTGCCCCTGGGCCCCATGTGTGACCCCTCTTCAGAGAGCGCCTTGCTGAGCGCCATAGCTAGCAGCACAGGGCTTGCGAAAGCCTAAAAAGACTGAGCGTTACTGTCAGCTTTCCATTCGCGGTGATTCCGCCAGGCACAAGCCAGATTCGTGGCGCAGCTGGGAGAATCAGGGCTACCTTCTTGCAGGAGCCAGGCTACGGGGTATTTGCGGCTCGTGTGTGTTAGGATGGGTTTCCTCGATTTGTGCAACGGCTTTTCAGCCTTTATAATTCAATAAACCCCTGTTTATCCTCACTTGAAATCCCCTTCACTATCTGCCCTTTTTTCCTAAGTAGATCCACAGCCTTCAGTTACTTGCACAGAAAACTCTAAGCCTTCAGCCGGGCACCCCAGCTGCCGGCCGGGCTGTTTTGTCACAGGCTTCCCTGCCTTTGGTTTCAGCCTAACGACGGGGAGCGAGGGCAGGAGTTGGGAACTGGCACCGGGGCCCCGTGCGGTTCCGTCACGGCTCTGCTCCCTTGAAGCACCATTTCGCGTGGCAGGAGCCGGCGGGAGCTGCTGCCTTGTGCCGCAGAGCAGAGGGTTATCCCTAGGCATATACTGAAGTTTTCATTAAAACGGGGATACGCACATAAGAGTATCTGTTGAGAGGCAAAGTTTGGATTTAGGAGGAAAATCGCACCCTGCCCTGTCCAAAGGACGGTCGCTAATGAGCACCGTGTCCCGAGCACGGCGGGGCTAGGGCTGAGCTCAGCCCCTTGGGAAGCTCACGGGCAGGGGGCTCCTGGTTCTGTTGAGGTCTTTACTCGCATCTGGTCTCCACCGGCCGTAGGAACTCGGGAGAGCGCTTGAGCCTTTGTGAGGCGATGGTGTCCAACCTGGCGGGTGATGTTTTGCTTCTAGGTTGGAGCCTGGCGGGGCAGCAAGAATGCTATCTCGCTAATTTACGTAAATCGTTGTAATTAAAACGATTCGTGCCTCGGGGTACGAGTCCTCAGCCCTGCACGCTCGGCAGGTCCTGCAGAGCTCTGCCATCACTCGTTGTCACCCCCGGCGAGAGGGCGGTTGGAAGGGAAGAGCGGGCTTCCCTGGCACCCTGCGTCCCGTGGGCACATCAGGGGTGTAAAGGCAGGCGCTGGGCTGCCTCCCGGGCCGAGGGTGGCGGCTCTGTGCTGCCGCCCCTTCCCGCATTCGTTCACGCCGCAGCTCGGGCAGTGCGCGGCAGGCGGAACGCTCATTTCCCGTCCTGGCGCCTCTCGGAGCTTCACCTCGGGGTGAAGCGGGGGACGCCGCCCGGCCCGGGGCTAACGGCACGGGAGTGGCCTGAGGCTGCGGCGAAGGAGCAGCCGCAGTTGGTGCTCGGGTGGAGGGGCTTGTTAGTTACTTCTCTCTCGGATCTAGGGAACTTTCCTAAATTGCAACGAAGGGGCCAAAACTGTTCCTTCATTTCCAGCTATAAGCTGCTAATTTGAAGGAAAAGAGCCACAGAGCACAAACGCTTCGGTCTGTGCTCTCTGCTCCTGACAGTTTACAAATCTAAACAGAACTATTTTAAAGAAGCCATGCATTACTGAATAATCTCGAAGTCTGTTAAGGTGAGGTGGGTCGATGAGCTTGATATGTGACGGAGGAAATCCCTTGCGGTTAGCATTGCAGCGTGTGATTGCGGGAAAATGCAAGCTCAGGGCCAAGGGGAAAGCCAAGGTCTGTAGACGTGTGCGAGGAACACGGGGAAGCTGCAGACCGTAGTGAGGAGCCGGAGGGCAGGAGAGAGCCTAGCAAGACTCCGGCAGCGGCCGGCTCAACCCCCCGCACCAGGCACCCAGCCGGCCCGGCCTGCCGGTGAGCTCCGCTCCCTCCGCCGGGGCTGCGCTGCCTTCTGGACACCGAAATACGATCTAATAGCGTATTACGTGCTACTCGGCTCCGGCAGAGTCGTTCCCTTCCCTGTATACCTCTAGCTGTAGCGATCGCTTCTCTGTTGTCCGCAGCTCCTTCTCCATATAAACCAGCGTTAACAGCAGAAGGCTCATTAATAAAACCACTGGGGGGAAGGATGGAAGCGCGGGTAGGTCTGCAGAGATACTGCTGTCCCGAAACCCTTTGGTCGGAGCTCGGACGCCATGAAGACGCTTTGGGTTTGGTTTTTTAAAAATTATTTTTGTTAATCCAGTGGCACAGCACGAACGAGCCGCGTAGATCCCGAAGGGGTTGGAGGCAGCCGGTGGTGCTCAGGGGATGCAGAGCCGGCTCCCGCGGGGCCGAGGCGTTTGCCGCGGAGCCGAGGAACTTGCCAGGCTGCCCGGCGGCCGCCGCGCTCCCCCTCTGCACAGCCGCCGTTTTAGGCTTGGGTTGCAGGGGGAAAGCAGCGGCTTGTGGCTGGGAAAGGACGATGGCCAGCGCCGTGCTCCCGCCGGCACTGTCGGCTGGAGCCAGATCTTTCCCCTCGAAGTGCTGCGGGCAGAGCTGGGCTCCTCCCGCCATTGGGCTCAAGGACATTTTCGTTTCATTTCGGCTTCCCCTCGTGAACCTGCCGCCGAAATCGCGGTAGTGCGGAGGGACGAGAACCCCTCCTACGGCGGCAGGGTTAGATGGCTCGGCCCCGACAGCGAGCGCTCGATGGCGGAGCCACCCCGCAGAGGCAGCCTGGCTCCTCGGCTGCCCAGCGCCTTTCCCGGACTGCGAGGGGACGCGAAGAAGGCGCGGCTGGGCAGGAGGTCTGTCCTTAGGCGCTGCCCATCGCCGGTTTGCCTGTGCCACCGCTCTGCCCGGGCCGGGCCGCGGGATAGGAGAAGGTGTCGGAGCCTCGACGGCATGTGGTGCGGCGGGCAAGGTGGCAGGGCGGAGCGGCGCTGCAAGGGCCGAGGGCGCAGCGGAGGGCGGCGGGAGGGGCCCGCTCGGCCCCGCGGCAGGTGCTGCGCCGTTCCCGCACCGCCGGGGCCGCGGGCGGGCGGGAGCAGCGGCCGCCTCGAGCTGCGCCGGCGCCAGTGCCCGCGCGATGGCGCTGTGCAAAGGGAAGGCACCGCGACGGGTCGGGCGGGTGGTCCCGGCCGCGGTCCGCGGGAGCGGCCGTGGGCTCGGCTCCCGCCGCGATGGAGCCCGGGACAAGCGGAGGGACCGGAACCCTCGCCTGTGGAATCCGCTCGTCCCTCTCCTCCTGACCCGGCATCCTGGCAGTGCGGACTACAGCCGCCACCCCGAAGGGACCCAGAGCTGCCTCGCCGGTGCTGGGGGCCATCCCGCTCTCAGCCCGCCGGCCGCTGTGCCCTCGTGGCAGCCCGGGACCTCTGCCCTTCGAGGCAGTACCCGCGGGCGGTGGGCCGGTGTCCTCCGGCACCCCAGCGTGCGGCGCCGGGGACCTCACTTGGGTCCGGGCCACAGCGCTCAGCCCCGGCCGAGCCTCACGGTGAGGCTGTCGTCCCGCGGGCGCCGCGACCCGTGGGAAGTACCGAGTGGAAGGGGGAGAAAGCAGCAGGCGAGGAGAGCGCGGCAGATCCTGCCACGGGCAGAGCCACGGGGGCCGGCTCTCGGCTCGGCCGTGGGGCGAGAGCTGCCCCGGCCCGGGGGGCAGCATCGCGGGCAGCGGAGGCCCGGGAGGTCGCCATAGCCCCGGCTGTAGCCGCCCGCCTCTGAAGCCCGTGTGGGCACAGAACTGCGATCGCTTCCATGCGTTTTGGCTTTAAAAGCGGTAGTTAATCAAAACCAAACCTTTCCAAGGAGGTGCTTTTGTTCAAAATTTTTGGTAATCAACGACTGAAGGGGTCTGCAAACTTCAGTAACAAGGAGCACTGGGTACTCGGAGCGCATCCACTCCTGCTCCCGTCAGAGTGAGAGAGCAGAAAATTCTCGTACCGGAGCTCGTGATAGAAAAAGAAAAATAGGTTATTAATATTATTCATATTTTTTAAATAGTTGTTTTTTTAATTGTGACATTGAAGATGGGTGAGGAAAGCAATGGGAAATAATAATCTTTTCTTTCCAGTGGAAATAAGGACATGTGAAAATCATGAAATGGGGGAAGAAAGTGTTTGTAATTCGAAACAGAGAGAAAAGTCTTTTATTGGGAAAAATCTGTAGAAGAAAAACAAGCATCATACTTCATAAAATCCGTATAAATTAAGTGATGTTTACAAAACAGAAGTTAACAAACAACATTTATACGAACTCGGTTACGTTTCCCTCGGTTTCACTAACAAGCCCCTTTCCTTCCGTGTCAAAATTTTCAAATTATTACGGCTCCCGATTTCAAAGTTATTTTCTCTGAGTATTTTATGTAAATATTCAGTTTATAAATACGGACTAAATACATATTCGGTAATCCTGATAATCCAGTGAACGCCGAAATGAGAAACCAGCAGCCGGTGGAGAAAAAAAACGAAAGCAAAAGAAAGGTACAGGGGATTCATTGCAAATGAAGCAATCGCTACATATATATTTAAATGTATTTAATTGTATGCATTATTCAAATGCCCTTCTGACTAGTTCAATAATTTACAATCGATAGTTTTCCTAAAAACTTTATAAAATATTTACACTTAATAAAATATTAATCGATTAACAAGCCGGTTGTACTCTTATAGGAGCTTTACTAAAGTCCTGTAATCGTGCTGTCACCACACGTCTCCGCTGTTAAGGAAAGGATCACTGACAAAATGTAAATGAAGATCTTCAGACGGTGGTGTTTATAAAATACCTCATTAATGGGCTTGGATTGAGTCTCTCCATCCATCCACATCATCAGATATAATAATAGTAACGAATCAGACAGGGAAGATCCTGGCTAAACCATTGGCATTTTTTTTTTCCAGAAGTACTGAAGTCCTAAATCACCAATTCTTCTAACTTTCTGGCCATTGATCCGCGGGCATTCGTAGTTCAACATCAAAGGTAAGAACAAAACATTATTCAGTTATTCAATAGCTGGCGGAAAACGTTAACTTCAATGTAAGAACGTTAACTTCCACACTGCTGAGCTTTATCAAATTTGGCGGGGGGCGGGGAGGGGGGGGGGGAAAGGGAGAAAAGTTAGATCGGGTTATTTAAAAAGAAAACAGAGTTCTCCAAACTTTGAGGCTCGTTTGTGAGAGGGAAAGCAGACCTGGCTGGCGGCAGCCGCCGCGCTCTCTCCTTCGCTACCGGCGCGTTCCCGGTACCGCCGCTCGCTTCTCCGACCGCTCCCGGGGTCCCGGCCCTGGCGGTATCCCGGCCCCCCCCTCCCCCCGCCCGCCCTCGGCCTTCCGCTGTTCCCCGTATCTTCTCTGGCTACCCCCGACTTCAGCCGGCGATGGGACGCGGCTCCCACCCGCGTTCACGGTTTGCTGTCCCGGGGCAAGGCTGGCACCGCATCCAGACTTCGCCGGCGGGCTCCCCTGCCCCTGCCGAGGCGGGGAGAGATACGAGTGCCTCGGCCGAGGCAGAGAAAGCCGCACTTGGCACTGCTTTTCGGGGCCGGCCCGGAGGTCGGATGTGGAACGAAGGGATGATTTCTCTTACCCTGCCCGGGAATCCGCTGCTTCTCCCGGCACTATTTTCAGAGGCGGTCCGGATCTCACTGGGACACCCGAGCGCTCGGCGGGCGGGTGGGTTGTCGCTGCCACTCGGAGGGAAGGAGGGGCGCAGCGGGACCGGCGGCAGCCGATCTCCTGCGAGGACCTGACCCTCCTCCAAACCCCGAGGCAGCACTGGGACGGCTGCATGCGGGCACGGAGCAACCACTGCTGCCCACCCTACTGTCTCCGGGCGCTTACGGGAAGAACGAAGATCCGTCACCAGGGCTGTCCACCAGGGGTGGCCGTCACGCTCCCGCAGGTCCCCAGTGTCGCCGTGCCCGGGACGGGGGGCTCCGCTCCCCACTAACCCCCCTTTTTTTTGACCCTCCAGCGCCACCGTAAAAGACAGAGCTCTTAAGGGAGCACGGCGGGGAGGGCGGCGCCGCGCAGGGAGCCAGCCGCGGACGGGCGGCAGGGGAGGCGGAGGAGGGGGGTGTCGGGGCACTTTGGGTGCCCACCGCCGCCGCCTGCTTCCCCGCTGCCCGTCCGCCGCCGGCCCCCTGCGCCAGAAGGGATTCCCTCGGTCCACCTTAACGTGGGTCTCGTTCCGCCGCCGGGCGGGCGGCGAGGGCTCGGCGGCGCGGGGCCGCCGGCTCATTCCCCCGCGCCCCCCGGGCCGGGCAGGGGGCGCTGCGGGTCCTTGGGGCGCCCGCGGGGCATGGCCCCGACGGGAGACGCGCCCATGCCGCCGCCGGCCACAGGGAGCGGCGCGGTGCACCTTGCATCAGAGAGAGAGAGGACTGCCTGCCTGCCCGGGTGACTGCTCGCCGCCCCCGGACTGGTGAGGGGCTCGATCCCGCCCCGCTGCGACTTCCCGGCCGGAGCTTTGCCCGCACCGCTGGCTGCACTTAGATAGCGCTGTCATGCCCTACCCGGAGCTCCGCTATTAAATAATTTAGCGGCGGCAGCAGCGGCGCTTCCCTGCCCGCTTGTCACCTTCTCCCGGCCCCCGCCATCAATTATTCAGGACCACCCCCGTTAACTGCCTGGAGCCGGGCGCAGAGAACAGGGCGACGGCGGGGCCCTACCTGGGGCCGGTCGCAGGCTCTTGGAGGCCTGGAGGAAGCGCGACCGGCCCTCGGGGCGGCAGCCCCCACCGCACCGCGAAAAGTTACTGTCGCCTCGCCCCGGCGGAGAGAGGTTGCGGGAGGATCCCCGCCGTCGGTTGGTTCCCAGGGGGACGGGGGTGGGGGGCGGGTGGCAGGAGGCGGCGAGCCCGCACGGGCTGCATCGGACCAACCCGAGCGTTTGGACTGAATGCCGGTGGCAGCTCTGCTCCTCCTCGGTCGGTCCGGTGTCCCCAGCTCCCACTTCCCCACCATCCGCCCCCCCGCCCTTCCCCTTCTTCCCGGCTCCTCCTCCTCTCCTTCCCTCTCAGCCCTCCCCCAGCCCGACTGCCCCTGCCCTTGCGCCTTTCTGCCCTGGGTCTCTCCTGTCACCACCGCGTCGCCTGCCACGCTTCCCCTTCCCCACCCAGCCTGCCCTACGGCCTCCCTTCGCGTGGCACTGCGCTCCTTTTTCGCGTGCGAGATGTATTATTTATTTATTGGTGTTTAATTTCCTGCCAGGTGGGTTTCTGCCTCCCACCCGTGCGCGCAGCAGGGCCGGGGCTCCGCGGGGCGGGCCGGGCCGGGAGGAGGTGGGCTGCTGCGTGCCCGTCTGTGCCCGATTCCGAGGTAGCAGCGAGACTTGATTTTTGCGGGGGGGCGGGGAGGGGGAGGGGTGTCAAGGCGAGGAGGGGTGGCGATGTTTGGGATGCACAGCCCTGGGACGGGAACGCCGCGCAGACAGACAGGCAGACACACACACACAGGCGTGCACATACACCAAACCCGAAAGCAAGGACAACCCCAAAAAGGACTCACTTTGCCTCGATGACTCAACGCAACTAATAACCGTTTCTCTGCTCTCTGTGGCAAGTCCCTCCTGCCGCTGCTGTCGTTGGCAGAGGAGGGAGCGATTGAAAGTGACACACGGGGGGCCGCCGCCGCCACTTCTCCGCGCCGCAAGGCACTCGCCGCCGCCGCGGAGCCCGGGAGAGCGGCGCTCCCTCCTCTTCTCCTCCCCCTGTTTCTCCCGGTATTGATTTTCTCCGCTGAAGGTGTGAGAAGTCGTCTCCCTTTCCCTTCTCTTCTGCGCCGCAGCCGACGGCCCTACGCCTCCCCGCCCCCTCGTCCCGACCTCTCCGCTCCGCTCGCCACCCGGGACCCTCCGGGACGGGGCTCTACCCTTGCCGCCCCGCGGGAAACCGCCCCGGCCCCGCCGCCTCAGCACCCCCAGAGGAGGGCGAGGAGGGGGCTGGGGGTGGGGGGAAGGAGTAGAAGCGAAGAACGCAGCGTGGGAGAAGGAAACAAGAAAACTTTTCACCCTGGATTCTCTACTTCTGATCCATGGACAGAGCCCAACTCAGCCAACTTACAGACAGGCTATAAGCAGTAAGTACAGCGGCAGCTCGCGGCAGCAGCTCGCTGTAGGCTTCCTCGCCAGCAGCCGGCTACTCCGTGGCTGCACAGCTGGCCGGCGCGGGGGGGCCGTGCCAGCGGGACCGTCTGGACTGGCAGCCTCTTCCCTACGGCCCCCGGGGGAGGGCCGGGACTACAGCCGGACCCGGGGCGCAGCACCTGGCTGCAGCAGGCGGCTGGGCTGCTTGCCTGCTGAGCGCGATGGGAACCGGGGCGCAGCGCTGCTTGCCCCCGCCCGCGGCAGGTTGGCACCGGGCGGGTGAGGCGAACCGCTCGCTTCCAGCGGGGCCGGCTCTGGCGGCGGGAGCGGGGCGGCATAGCACCCGGCCGCGACTCGCCCGACCTCACGGAGCTGAACCGCTCTGGAGATGCGCATCGGGGGCCCGGCCGGATGAGCGGGGCCCGGTACTGGCCCGCGGTCACTGAAACGCTCCTTGTTTCTCTCGCCCTAGGTCCGTGCTCCTTCTACTGCGACCTCCCAGCGGGAGCAGCGTCCCCGAGCATGGAGCGGAGGAGCGAGAGCCCCTGCCTGCGGGACAGCCCCGACAGAGGCAGCGGTAGCCCCGATGTCAAAGGGCCTCCTCCCGGGAAGGTGGCCAGGCTGGAGCAGAACGGCAGCCCCATGGGCACCCGCGGGAGGCCCAACGGCGCCGTCACCAAGCCCGTGGGAGGTAACCGTGCGGCCGCGCTCGCGGCGGGCCGGTGTGGCGGGTGGGCAGGCACCGTGCGTGGAGGGGCCGGCAAGTCCGAGTGGCAGCTGGAGGGCTGCTGCCCGCTTTCCCGGGCAAGCATTTGGCTGCTCGGCACCGCTGCGGTGATGGGGATCCGTGGGAAGGCTTGGACCGGGCGTGCGGCGCGCAGCCCTCCGGCTTTAGAAGGCCGCCTGCCGAAAAGAGGCCGCGCCGAGCCGGGGTCTGGCCGGGCAGCTCTCAAAAGGCGAGGGCTGATCCTGCCGGAGGGCAGCGGGGTGAGAGCGTGTCCTGCGCTCGGCGCTTTTTTTGTTGCGGATTGCCCTGGGGCACCCCGCGGGCATCCCCCTGCCCGCCGGCGCTCCCGCAGGGCACGGCAGCGGCCGGGCGGCGGGCCTGGGCAGCGCCTGCCGCTGGGTTGCGGACGGTCGGGCAGCCTGCACGGCTGCAGGTGACACCAGCTAGGTGCGCTAACACCCACCGTCGTCGCAGCTTTAAGAATAGGGTCACCAGGGTGGGAGAAATGGTAGCGCTTATGGTTGTATTTTGGGATTTTATTTTTCTTTCGGTAAGTAGCACTTTGTAGCAGTTGCAGTAAAAGAGGATAGGGCATGTGTAAGGTTCAGCTCTTTCAGCAAATATATTGAGCATTAGTTTTGCAGTTTTTCTGTGTTTCTCTAGAATACTTAATATTTATTACTTTGCTATCAAGTTGCTGGTCAGTTTTGTATTAAGAGAATGTTAAGTGCGTGATTACTTTTTCCCCTCCTTTTGTTCCAAGCAGATAAACTTTCCAGTCACTTATTTTAAATGCCTTTTTTCCTCTTAACTGTGATGCTGTCGTGTTTAAGACAGTGCAGCTGCATGTTAGGAAAAAATATATTTAAAAATCTTGAAATTAACCAGATGTTGTGAGCAGAATACTGCAGGAAAGGCCACCAATAACTTTACCTTAAAAAAACCTCTGTATTTGTGTTTTAGAATGAATAGAGCGGTAACACATAGTTGTAGTTGTTTATACACAAGGAGTTTGTGTAACTGGGGTTTTGAGAGATACATTGAAATGGTCGTCACATGACTCTGTATTGCGTGAGGTTTATTTAGAGATTTTACCATTAGATGCTTGTTTTAGACCTCTTTGGCTCAATAGGCTTCCTAATTGCTGAAGTTTGCTAAGGAGCTGCAGATTTTACTTTAAAAGCGTAGGATTCATTTATATACCTAATGAAGGGTAAGAGAGCTCACTAGTTTTTTATGTTTCTATATATTTAGTTTTTAATCCTCTTCTTTGTGCTCTTCTAATGTATGGAAAAAGAAGAAACAGCTTTGCAGTGAAAGACTTGTAATACCACTTAGGTATTGGTGAAGAAATAATTTGTTGAATAGTTATTAAAAGGAACTAGTTAAATCATATAAAAAGTAGCATATGTAGTTTTACATGCCTTTTTCGAGACTTGGGCATTAAAGCTTCTTGATTTTTAAAGGAATGTTGGAATTAGAGCTGAAATATTTTTCCTTGGGGCTTTTATAGAAATATACTTTAAGAGAACTCTTAAATGTTTTGGAATATATGTTTGCTTTCTAGTTGCAGCTGTATTATCCAAGAGAAATTCAGCAGCTTTTGAAATAGTTACATTGGTGGTTCAGCCTGAATCTGGCCTGTTAAGCTGTGGAAGATTTCTTCCACTTAAGAAAAAGACTTTGATTTCTGAAAGCAAACTTTTAAGACCCTCAGTTTTCATTCATTACTCTTCAGCTCATTTATAAAAGTATTGTAGACTGGAGTGTAGAAGTGTGGGGGAATAAGAAATGCAGGAGTAAATTTTTTTTTCCTTAGCTGGTGTTCTTTAAACAGTCTCAGTCTCTTTGGGTTTAGGCTATTCATAATAAAGGGTATTCATTACTCCTTATTGATACTGAAAGCAAGAAAAAAATATTCCTTTCTGAATACTTACCTAGGTTCTATAATATTCAATACTAAATTAGTTAAGGCAGATTTTTTTTTTTTTAATAAGATAATGGTGCTGTTTAAAATTGATTTTTTTTCTCCTGGAAATACTCTTAGAATAAATCAACACAGATAATTTCCAGATATTTTTCTTCTGCTCTTTTTCAAGTTTGAGCTTTAAGAACCTGTTACGATCAAGTGGTCTTTTTCTGCATGCAGATCACACCTGTTTCAGGTATTTTTGGAAGTCTGTATCTTTGCAGTGATTACTGTGGAATCAGTAATTTTTTCACTGAAGTTGTGAAATGCATCTGTAGACATTTGTGGAAGGGCTTACGTTTAATTTACTGGCAAATTAGTATAAAAATTATTTGAAATAAATATTGATAGGGACTCTCCTACTATTGAGCGTAAAGTCTGACAAAAAGGAAACTATTGAAAGTCATAGTGAAGTGGTATCCAAGGCTTCAGTTGCCTGTGTTTCTGTTTATTCTTATTTCTTGGGTTTTAACAAGTGTTAATACTTACTGAATGTGAATTGCATTTGGGACAAAAATGGAAATACTTTACTGAAAACTACCAGAACATTTCAGGTTTTTTGTTTTATTTTTAATTCCATGATGTGTATCTAAAGATTTTGAAAGCAAAGCCACATGCTAGCAATTCTTTTCCTCATCTCATTTTGGGCCTTAGATATGTAAATACTGAAATTTCTTCCTATTTGTCAAGTGGCTTTTTGTTGTAATAATATGAGTTTCTGAGGTTAATTCGTGAGAACAGAGCAATAAGCTCTCAACTACCTGCAGCTATGATGAGTGTGATGACCTTTGGTAACCAGTTTTATAATCGTGCTGTTTGCTGCAATTATTTTTCTAGTGACTTCCCTGAGAAATAGAGAAATATAATGCTATCTGTGTTTCTAGCTTTCTCTCTAGTTTTATGAGTGAAAATGTGTTTTAAAATAAGCTTATGTAATGCAGACAGAAAATCAATTGTTCTCATGAGAAATTTTGTATTGTGACTTTCCTGGTGTTTTATTCGTAACATGAATGTACTTAATTCAGAGGGCCATTACAGCAGCTATAATAATCTAGTGAAGGTCACTAAAAAGATAAACAAGGTCTTAAAGGTTGTGTTTAATAGGGGATTTAAAAGTTTTGGTACTGTTTACAATGTTGTTAGCGTCAGTCCAATGTATTAGAGTCCAGTTTGGGTTTGCCTGACTAACCCAGTGCTTCTAAAATATTTCAACAGTTATCTAAGCAGTCTGTTTTAAAACCTGTATGTAATAAAACACAAGTGGTCAGATTTTAAGGAGAGTAAGGTTCCTTGGAAAAAAAGACGAATATCGCTTTAAAAAACATATGAAGCCTGGGAGAGAGTTTAGAGCAAGCAAGAGCACTATGGTGTTGACAGCTTTATATCCCTGTTGGGTAACATTCACTTACTAGAATTGGCGTCTCCTCTCAGTTAGTAATTCACTCCATAAGGATTAAAAAAAAGAGGGATGATTAATGGCTAGGAAACTTATATTTACAGAATTGTTGATTGCAGTTCGTGAACCTGTTTGTGTTAAGAGTGGATGTGTGCATATATATGTGTGTGTTGATTTGAAGAGCATAGAAAATAAGCGTCAAAAGCTTCTGAAAGCACCTTAAAATGCCACTATGCAGAATGAGGTGTTCTAAAGTTTGATTTTGCTGAAAAAGAAGCATAGAACCAAATGATAGCTAAGGGAGCATGTTCAAATTTGAAACAGGAAATGATGGCAAAACATTTTTTGTTTAGTTTAGTTTGATGCAGTCTGATAATATGTTCATATTCATTTAACTGTTAAAAACTGTGATTCAATTTACAAAATATTAATGGAGGGAAAAGCTTTAATGCAATTCAGACCAAAGTGTCTGATTAGGATGTTAATCAGTAGCTATAGTTACGGAGCTTGTACGAAGTCAGATGTAAGAGAAATGTGGATACACCGACTCTTCATAGCGCTGCTGCTGATTGCTGTGAGCCCCCTAAAGTTCAGTGTATCGTGGTCGTGTCTGCTTAAGTGTAGTTAGAAATCAGTTTTAATATATCTCTGGGGTGACAGAAACATGGGCTGTTGCTTAAAGAGCTGTTTGTCAAAGTCCATTCTACATATTTCTGTAAAAATATTGTAGGGTTTGTACCGCCTTTTATATCTTTACAAGGATTTAAGGCACTTGACTGGAGCAAAAATTCACTTCTGTACAGACGGAAGAATCCAGCCTGATCAGATTTGTTCCTCTGTTCTAAATGGTTAGTTAACATGGCGTCCTGAACGCAGTAAGGAAGTGTGTTTCACTTGTCCTTAGGAATTGAGCAAAGCAAAAGGTTAAGTTTTAGATTCCTGCCCAGATCCTAGATGAAGAATGCCTTCATGTTGCCTGAAAGAAATATGTAGCTGTTCAAAAGAATTAAGCGCACTGAAAAACAGAAGCGTGAAAGCTGCAAATCCTTGTTAGTTTTAGGAACCAGCATAGATGTATTTTTATGTTTTACACTTATTTTGTTTTATCTGTGGCTGCATAGTTGGAAAATGTTGCTTTTAATTTGATATAATTAAGAATTTAGATTTGGAAGAAATGTAAAATCTTGCATTTTACATGTTTCTGATATATAATAAGGAAGAAACCTCTTATGGGAATGTAAGAAAAGAAAGTGATTTCTTTTTTGGGACTAATTGTGAAAAACGAGTTTCTGGTCTTTTTTCTGATCTTCGCCCCTCTCTTCCTTTTCCAATCAGGCTATATCATGTAAATAGAGCAACCAGAGCAGTCATTCCTAAAGGGTCATGCAGTGTATCAGTCGTATTTTTGCTGAGGTAGAAAAACAGTCTTTCTTTATGTGTTTTCAGTACTTGGTCTGTTATTAAAATAAAGACAGTTGGTTGAAGTATGTGTGCAATTGAACATACAAATTAAACAGAATATAGGGTATCCACCCATTCAATGACCTAGACATAATTTGATGTTTAGGGTAATTTTGGAACCCTTAAGTTGCATCTGCA